CTTGTTTCTTTTTCTTGCTTCTTGCATTATTACTTTTGTCTGTAGGAGTTTTCCTAAAAGGGTCTTTCTCTCTTTCTTTTCTTTTCTTTCTTTTCTTCTTTACTTTCTTATGTAAGCTTTTCTTCTTTTTTAATACTATGCTATTTTCCTTCTCCCATTCTTGTACCAATTTGCATCTTGCAACCTATATTTTTTAGTACACTTCTCTTAACTAGTTTTTCTAGAGTACTATTATAAAATTCTTTGTTTAATTGTTTGAGTTAAAAAGTAGTCTTAACTTATCAAAATCCTCTTTTGTAATTAGGCCTCTAATTCATCTCTCCTTTCTATATATCTCTTCATATTGGTTTTTCTTTTTTAGCATTGTTAGTACTCTTTCTTTTTTTTAAGTACTCTATATTAACTTAATCATATATTGTATATCATCAAAATAGTAAGTTCTTAATAATTTTTTGTAGTAGCTTATAATAGAATTTAATACAAACTAATTCAAATAAATATTATATATTACTAGAATAGCAAGTTTGTAACATAATTTTTTATAATAATTCATATTAGAAATTATAATAATTTTAATATAAACAAGCTAATTTAACTTTAACTACTTACTTATTTTAGTGGAATAGCAAGTAAGTTTTGTGCTAATTTTTTATAAAAAAAAATATAATAATTACAAACAAATTAACTTTATATATTGTGTATTACTAATATAGTAACTTACAATAGAAATTATAATAATTCTAATTGCAAACTTAATTACATGCTGTATGTTATTAAAATAGCAAGTAAGTTCTGTAACAGAATTTTTTACAGTTAACTCATAATAGAAACAAAATAATTCTAATACTGCTAATTTAATCTTAACTGCATATTGTGCATTATTAAATAGTAAATAAGTTTTATAACAGAAATTTTTTGCTACAAACTAAATCAAATACTGTGTTATTGGAGTGGTGAATAAGTTTTGTAGCAAAATTTTTTACAATAAATTATAATAGAAATTATAATTATTCTAATACAAACTATAGCTTAATTATATATTGTGTATTATTGAAATGGTAAATAAGGTTGCATTAAAATTTACAATAACTCACAACAAAAATTATAATAATTCAAATTCAAATTAAATTATCCTTATTATATACTATGCTTTACCAGAGTAATTAACAAGTTTTATAATAGACTTTTTTACATAACTCAAGATAAAATGATAATTCTATATAAACTAACTCTTTTAATAGTATTCTATATACTACTAAATAATAAGTAAATTCTGTAACATAATTTTTATAATAATTTTAAAATAATCTTAGCTATATACTATATGTTACTAGAATAGTGAATAATAACTTTTTAAAAATTTAATAATTCTAATAAAAACTAGCTCAATCTTAATTATATACTATATAGCAAAATAATTGTAAGTTTTGTAACTGAATCTTTTATAGTAACAATACAAACTTACTTATATAATATGTCATCAGAATAGTAATTTGTAATAGAATTTTTGTAATAGAAATTACAGTAATTCTAATATAAACTAAACCTCAGCCACATACTATATTACTGAAATAGCAAATTCTGTAATAGAAGAATTTATAATTTATAACAAATAAATTCTATACCAAATTTTTATTGTAACTTACAATATAAAATAACTTAATATTAACCAAATACAGTGTGTTATCTAAATAGCAAGTTTCATGACAGATTTTTTTACAGCAACAATTCAAACCAATTTAACCTTAACTATATACTATGTGTTACTGGAATAGCAAGTAAGTTCTATAACAGAATTTTTTACAATAATTTATAATACAAAATAAATTAATTTTAATTACATACTATATGTTACCAGAATAGCAAGCATGTTTTGTAGTAAAATTTTTACAATAACTCTTAATAGAAACTACAATAATTTGAATAAAACCAATTCAACTTCAACTTCATATTTTGGCACTAAAGTAGCAACTAAGTTCTGTATTTTTTATAGAACTTAATAAGATATCGCATGCTATGATGTTCTTATATATCGTATTTTAAGAATTGGCCAATTAAATTTGAAGATCAGGTGTAACATGCAAATTAATTTTGTGTAACAAAAATAAAGAAATTTTTAAAATTTTGTAATAGCTCGAAATACCATCTATAAAACTGCTTTTTGAGCTCTAACAAAAAAAATTTCTCACAAAATTTTGGTATATACTACACATACCCTAACTGCTAACTACTAACTCTAACCCTAATTCTAATTCTAATCTAGTATTTATATATATAAAATTCTTGTTACACAAATCTACAAATTATAATTTAAAATATACATATGATAAATTAGCACATTGCATAGTGCGATATATATATTTATCCTTTATTATATTAATTAATAATGCAAACTAATTCAACTTTAATTATATACTTTTTATTACTAGAATAACAAGTAGGTTTTGTATTAGAATTTTGTATGGTAACCTATAATATAAACTAACTTAACTTTAACCTCATACTATATGTTACTAGAATAACAAGTAATAATTTTTATAGTAACTCTTGATAGAATAAAACCATCTTATCTTTAACTGCAAACTGCATCACAAGTTCATAACACAGTTGCTTGCAATAAAAATTATTATATTTTTAATGCAGATTAACTTTAACTATATAATTTATCATTAGAATAGCAAGTTCTGTAACAGATTTTTTTATAATTCTATGAAAAAAACAATAATTTTACTGCAAACTAACTCAACTGTAACTATATATTGTGCATCACCAGAATGACAAACTCTGTAACAGAATTTTTTATAGTGCCTTATTATAAAAATCATATTATTTAAATGCAAATTAACTTAATATTAACTACACACCATATGTCAATAGAATAGCAAGTGAGTTCTGTAACAGAATTTTATATGTGCTTATGGTAAAATTAACTCAATTTTAATCATATAAGATGAAGTTGGGTATTATGGTATGAGTATGGATACACTTTCTTTTTTTTTTTTTTGCGATATCTAGAGATCCAATGATCAGAATTGAATAATTTTTTAGTATTATTTAGTTCCTCTTACTGAGACAAATCAAATAATTCAATATTAATCAATTCCATTTAAAAATTAAGATTAGACATCATGTAGTTTATACAACCCCAACCTTGAAAAAGTATAACACTAAAGTCTAGACTTTTCTTTTTTTTTGCTAGATAGTAGGTCGAGCATTATATTTTTTTGATAAATATTGTAAATAAATATGCTTTTTATGAAATTTTTACTATTAATAACTCTTAAGTGTACCATAATACCCGACTCTACTTTACTATATGTCAACAGAATAAATAAGTTATATAACAAAATTTTTTAGTAGAAATTGCAATAATTTCCAACTACATACTGCGTGTAACCAGAATGAATGGTAAGTCAGTTCAGCAACAGTATTTCTTAATGCACAATGCAATTTGGAATTTTTTATGCTGTAGTAACTCAAAATAGAAATTATGATTATTTCGATGCAAAACTAACTTTAACCAATTTTGTGTATTAACAGAATAGCAAGTTCTATAACAGTATTTTTTACAATAGTATATGATAGAGTTCATGCTATTTCAAATACAAAAAAACACAACCTTAACTACATAATGCATGTCACCAGGATAGTGTTAATTTTATAACAATTTATTATGTTAATGCATTATAAAAAATACAATTTTTACGATTAAATTATAATAATTTTAATTTATACTATATGTTGCCATAATAGGTGGGTGGCGTGCTAATTAAACTGAGTGGCGCGAAGCGTCACCTATAAGACTAGTAATTATTAAGACAACGACCGGTAAGTATTAATCAAATCTTGACCTCTTATTTCAACCGGTATTGCGTTTTTTTGAACCAGTTGACAACTCCTGATCGTATTTAATTTTTTCCTTTTTTTTTATTAATGTCTACTCACATAATATGGTATTACGTATTAAAAAAACAAATTTTTAATTTTTTATTGATTTAAATAGATATATATTCAATAAACAAGCTTGCTATAAGTTACCGAAGTTAATTTTATAATGAAAAGATTTACAAAACGAAATTAAAGTAAAAAAAAATTGTTTTTGATTATAGATCATAAATTTTTGTATCGTACATACTGGATAAAGCAAAAATTGAAATATTTGACATTACAAATGTAATACTTGTATAATATTGATCGAACAATGTGCTGTAATAGTAACTCAATAAATTTTTTGTATACTGATTACGCATTAATCATACGAAATCAATTAATTAAACAGATAAGATATTTATGTATCAAAATATTTGAATTCATTTTATTTAATTTTATTATGCGAGTAACAGATAGATAATAATTCATATTAATTTTCATGTTAATTTTGTGTATATAAATGAAAAATAAATATTTATAAAGAATAGATTATTCAAGTTTATGAATCTTTACTATCAAGTAGCTCTTATCGTTTCATTCATTTCATTCGAATTAATTTAGAAATATGAACCCATTAATTTATCAGCAATATCCAAATTATAGTCACATAATACAGCTTTGCTTCTGTATACATAATTATTAAACAGGCGGCGAAACCGCTCGCATGACATGTTCTAGTTTATTATACTAAAAATTTAAGTACTGCACTGTATTTTGTACAGTTTACTAATCTTATTTATAGTTTAGTTTATTTAGTGAAGCCTTGGGTTATTTACCATTTTGGTTTATCGAATGTTACGGCTCTAAGTCGTATATATTAAAGAGTTCTTTCTTAAAAATATCGATAAAGATGTTCAAAGGACGTGTGATTAACTAGTGGGCGGAATAGAAGAAGAATTCGATCATCGAAATAAACTTTCGTTAAATTTTTAATTCGGTCATAATCGAACATCGGTCAAGCTAAAATTTACTATAGCCCTACTCCTTTATTTCATTATATATCTTTTACTCGATCTGCTGATGGTTATAATATACTCTCCAGAATCAAGAAATAGCAGATAGCCAAAGTTCTACTGTTGTTGATTATTTTGACTTGAGCTTATATTTGGATCAAAATCTTTATGCGTTCTTGGATCCGTCTCATATATCAAATGCTTTTTTTGTTAAAGGTTTTCTTCTCGACAATTTATTGAAATTAATTTGCAAAAAAACTACTACAGTATTACTAACTTGAAACTTTCTCATCATTATTTGGCTATAATGATGTATAAACATACTTATAACCTTGTTTGATTATTCAATTAACAAATTTTATTTTGGTTTTCAACACAGTCTTTGTAACAAAACCATGTTAAATTCCTTGAAATTTATTTTGATCTCAATGAAGATTAAGCTATGGCTGAAAATCTCCGTAGAAATTCATCTAGTAACTTAGTTCGAATCAAGTTGGTTATTTTGAGTAAAAACAATAGCAAACTCTTTGTAGAAATATTCCTTGCATCTTTATGATAATTGCCTTAGTGTAGGCTCTGGAAAGGAATTATCAGAAGTCATTTGTAAAAATTCAATTTTGAAATCTTTGAATCTTTATTTTAATAATTTCGGCGTTAAAGGTGAAAGGATTTTGGTTGAAGCTCTTGAAAAAAATTCCTCTTCGACCTTTTTATGTCTTGGTAATACTAAGCTCGATCCTAAGGTGGTGAAGAGTTGCTGAAGCTCTTCGTAAAAATACTACTTTAACTTGTAAAATAATCTTGGCTCTAAAGATAGAAAAGCATTAGCAAGTTCTCTTTGCAAAAATATCTCTCTAACCTCTTTGGAAATAACCTTAGTATTGAAGGATGAGAGACGATGGTGAATGCACTTTGTGAGCTCTAACTTTTTTGGGAAATATTCGAGGCATAGAGATTTTTGTTAAAACTTGAATGTAACGAAATTGGTTTTTGCAGAGACATTGGCAGAAGCTTTCCAGAATAATAATATTTTAAAAGTATTAGACCTTATATTAAATAAAATCGACTTTGAAGATGGAAATATTTTTGTGAAATCTCTTCCGGAAACAATAAATTAACCGTATTAAGCCGGATGAGGAAAAATTATTGGCAGAAGCTAGTAGAAATGCTATAATTTTAAATCTAAAGTTTAGCCATATCGGTGTATTTTCAATTTGTTTAAATGAAATTTATGATACCATTTTGCTTGCGCTGATATTCGCGCAAAGTTTTATATAATTGATTTAAATTTTGTCAATATATTGTAATATTATTTTATATCATTATTTATTTATCATAGCCAACCCTTTATATATTGAATAGAGTAGAATTTTGATATTGGATATGTTAATTTAACATGCTAATATTTTATTGTTTTCAATTCGACGGATTTTTGGAATTTGATCTTTATTTCAAGATACGTGTATTAATTAAAAGGAATATAGTTAGGAACACAAAGTATGGTAACGAAAACATGCTGCGAAATAAAATTGTATAATATACATATATATATATGATATATAGTAAATATATTAGCCATATTAACAACTATTTATTATTATATTCTCATTAATGAAATTATATAAAATTTTTTTCTTTTTTTTTACAAATAAATTGATAATAAAACGATTATGCAAAAAATAGTTTTTTTCAAACAAATTAGTAAGAAATACTAATCATATAAGCATACATGAAATAGTGTTCAAAGCCATGTTCACGCTTTAATTAAATTAGTCTTTCTTTCCTTTCTTCCAAGTTGTAATAATCGTTCTTCATACTCCAATTTTTCTAGTAAGCTTTGAACTTTAGAATTCGTTTCGTATCAAAATTAATACCTTCTTAAAAGTCTTTAAATTTAAATTTAAAAAACGATAAAAATATTAAACTTATATGGTAAACAAAACATTATAAGGTTCGAGAATTTTGAAAATTTTTTAGTTATTTGATAAGACTTCAGTTTATTGTTCAGTATAAAATGTACAATAATTCACTATTTATTATATGATATATTAAATATCGAATAAAGTAATTTTGTCTGATTTAATTGATATAACACTAATATAAAATTTTTTTTTGGATATATATGATTGCAAAAAGTATTTCAGTCAAACTGTTTTTATTTGAATACGAGCGCTAATTAATATAAATTTAATTATCTGTTCTTAACGAGGAATCATCATTGCAAGAAAGCTCTAAATGAATTAGAGTAGTGTTCTTAGAACGAGCTTTAGCTAATGCTTTTTTTCCTTCAAGGCCAAGTTGATTATTTTCAAGATGCAAATGTGTAAGGGCCCTATTTGTGTAAAGAGCGTTTGCTAAAGCCTTTCCTACATCAGAATTCAAATTATTTCCACCAAGATATAGACTGGTTAAAGTATTATTCGTAAAAAGAGCTTCTCCAAATGCTTGACCAGCTTCAGAACCAAGCTGGTTATTATTAATATTTAAGCAGATTAATGTGCTATGGTTATAAAGAGCCTCCGCTAGTGCTTTTCCACCATCAAAACTAAGTTGGTTATTCCAAAGTAATAGATGTTTTAAAGCAATGTTTTTATAAAGAGCCTCAGCTAATGCTTGTCCTCCATCGGGACCAAGTCCGTTTTCACTAAGATTTAAATGAGTTAAAGAATTATTTTTATGAAGAGCCATTGCTATTACTTTTCCACCTTCCGGACCAATATTATTATTTTGAAGATATAAATGAGTTAATGTAGTATTCACGTAAAGAGCTTCAGCTAGTGCCATCCCACCTTCAAATTGTAGATAATTATGAGAAAGATCCAAATGGGTTAAAGTAGTGTTCTTATGAAGAGATTTTGCTAAAACTTTTCCAGTTGCAGAACCAAAATGATTATTGATAAGATCCAAACAAATTATAGTAGTATTTTTACAAAGAACGTTTACTAATAATTTTTCCTCCTCACTATTAAATTGATTAAAACAAAGCTTTAAACAACTTAAAGTGGTATTTTTATAAAGAATTTCAGCTAATGCATTTACACCTTCAAAATCAAGCTGATTTCCGTTAAACTCCAAACAAGTTAGAACAGTGTTCTTGCGAAAAGCCCTTGACAAAGCTTCAACAGCCTTAGAATCAAACCGATTATTCATTATACTCAAAGAGGTCAAAGTTATACAGTTGTCAAGAATCTTTACTAATAAACTTGTTGCATCACCAAGAATGTATAGGCTGTTGATTTTTTTATTAGTTTGACCTGTCTTTTTTGTTTGTAAAAACTTCATAATTAAAGTAGTTTTAATTGCTTGAACTACATATCTATCAACAATAATATCATTATGCTGATATCCACGTCCTTCATTAATATACCACTCAGTGACGCCATCACCCATGATCCAAGAGTCAGAGTTAATCTTGATAACTGTAGTGAAGGTAGTATATTCAAATAAAGGTTTTGACCCATTTGGAAATATTATTTCAAGTGGCAATAATTGAGTTTTTTCTTCTTTATCTAATGTCAAAAGACATGTTCTTACGAGCTTTCTGTTTTTAAAAATGTCCAATTCTTTCCATAAAATTGGTACAACATTTCTACACCATGAACGGTTTACAAAAAGGCAAGAAAATAAGTTTTTAGGTTGATCTTTAAGATACGCAAATATTTCAAAAAGACATTCGTTCGGTAAACTTATCATTTTTGAAAGAGGTTAAAAATTTTTTTTTTACTACGAATTACAGTTGCAGGTACGGACTTAGGGTACATTACGTATTTATGTGTTACACTCGGAGTTCGGAAAACAAATTTAGCTTTATAGGGTAAGACTGATAGGTCACATGAAGATTAATGTATATAAGTGTGGTCAAAGCGACACAGAACATGCACGTTACTGCATTATGCCGTATAAGATTCATAAAAACGTTACCAATTTAAGAATTTAGATAATAATAAATTTTTAATTGATTTGCCTATTATTTCAAAAAAATTCAACTTAACAAATTGCTTTGTTTTAGAGTTAGTTATATTGCGCCGTTTAGGCCATTTTTAGATTTGCTAGTTTTTGAGAAACCATTTCTTTAATTTCTCAAAATTTCAAATTTGGTACGTACGTACGTACATACGTACGTATATATATCTGATATACATACATTGTTAGTTTATTTATTTACTACAGTATCTTTATAAAGTTTTTCTAATTCGGAAGTTGAATTAACAAATTCATTGTGATGGAAAACCTCAACCATAATAATTACGTAAATATACTGCATTAAATTTTTATCCAATATATAGCGTGGGAGTCTAGTGACATAATTTAATCAACTAATACGCAGTAGTGTGACAGATGGACGTTGCATAATTATCAACTATCAAGTTAGTTATTTAGATTATAAAAGTAAATCATAATATATATATATATACCAGATAATTTGATCTAACTGTACGTATATATGTAATACGTCAGTTTATGATTTATGTGATTTTAAATTAACATATTATTTTAAAATTTATACTGATAGGAATGTGACTACAATGATTCCTTCGTTTAATATGACTTCAAATAATTTGCTAGTTTTTTCTTTTATCTTAAACAATATGAATTATCGAAAAAATAAAAGACATACTGCTTAATTTTTATCTTTATTTTTATTTTATTATTATCTATTATCATTATTTCATAATAATCAATTAATACCGATCATGTTATAACATATATCAAATTTGATTCTAAAAATGGCTTATGTCACTTCAGAATTCACATAAATTCCAAAGAAACGTAGAACATGTACAGTACGTAGAAAGGTGGGAACTGCTCCGAAATCAATATACATAGATAGGAATAAAGCCACACTAATAAGAAACAACAACTAACACTACCGAATACTACACTAAAAAATTTAACTAAACTTCTAATAGATTCGATCCTAGTAATTAGGGCTAAATCACGTCACAAGGCTCTAATTCTGGATTATACTGATTGGATTATTTGCTAGCCAGAGGAATTAGAACTAAACGCTTATACAATTCAGCGTTTAACTATCCAGCTCTACTCTTTGTCGAAGCAAAAAGGTGGGTTTCTATAACTTTTACATTACTAGGGAATACACTACGACTATGGCTAACATGTCCTTTGTTTATTATGTTCGCCATGCTCACTTCATAGGTAGACTTTCGCATGATTGGCAGTTTAAATCAATTTAATTTTACATTATTAATACAGTTTAAAATACTTTTTAAAAAAAATCAGAATAAACAAAAAAGAAGTATATATAAAGGTTTATTAGGGTTGTAAGACTCCACTATTAAAAATAATCAAAATTCTTTTTTGTTTTAGAGAAGTTAGCACGGTGATAACCTAATTCTATCTATCGTTAAGAAGTCGCTATTATATTAACTTCTCTAAAACAAAAAAGAATTTGTATTATTTGTAATAGTGGAATCCTACAACCCTAATAAAACTTTCTATATACTTCTTTTTTGTTTATTCATAGTAGTTTAATTTTTTTTTAAAAAATACTTTAAACTATATAAAATGTAAAATTAAATTGATTAAACAGCCAATCATACGAAAGTCTGCCTATGAATGCTCACTATGCTAGCTAAGCTTATAATCATTATGTATACTGTGTACATTATGTGCAATTTGACAATACATTATATACCAGGCAATTTGTACAATACAATATATACCAGGAACGTTATGTATGGTTTACAGGTGTACATAATCTTGTATCCCGTTGGATGGCATGTTCAGATTGATTATTGGATGTGTGGTATCATTATATACTTTTTCAGGCAGCCTTTAACTGTTATTCTGATAATGATGTACGCATGTGAAGGTGGCAATTGATCCGAAATCACAAATATTGGTTACACGGATATCAACAAACACTAATACAACACATTAAACCAGGGATGGTAAATGACTTGAAATGACCCAAATGACTCAAATGACTAGTGACCAGTCATTGGGTCATTTCACATTCAAATGACCATAGAAGGTCATTTAACATTTGTTAACTGATAATCTAACGCTTTTTAACCAATCAACTTTGATTATTAGACATACTAGTAAAGTGATTTTTTCGTAGCTACATATAAAAGTCAAAATTTACTGATTTAAGTTGTTCTCTTGAACAACTTTACTAAAGATATAAATATTGATTAACCTAGTAAAATTTTGACTTTGGCGCTTGATAACTTTTTATATTAGCTATCTGACCAATAAAATTACTTTACATGTAAATGACCTAAATGACCTAATGACCCAGATGACCAGGTTATTTACACAAATGACTTGGTCATTTAAATTTTGAGTAAATGACCTGGTCATTTGCCATCCCTGCTCTACATCAGTATATATTCACCTCTTATTAATGTAGATAAACAGTCTCTTATTCAAGTCGATTTAGCCACAATTATCTATACTACTAAAATTTTAATAGCATCTGTCTGTCACTTTTAAATAATTTTATTGGTCTGTTTAAGGTTTCTTGATCTTAAAAGTCGAATGAATGCATGTTAGACGGAAGTTATACTACTTGAAATCACATAAGAGTTACACATAATTCATATATCAGATACTGATATTTTACTGATATTTTTGATTTTAACTAGTGTTATAGTAAATAGCATGAACTTTTTATCAATATTTTTAGGTTCCTTAAATTTTTGATATCGATATAATATTTTTTTGCTGTATTGACATAAATTTTGTAGAATCTGAACCCGATATTTTTTTGTCTCATAAATTTATATTAACATAAGATGTCAGAGACCCATTCTCCTAGATTATTTAAAATTTGTCACTCCCAACAATAAATAGAAGTTAGCCAATTAAAAAAAAACCCCCCGACTCTACCATTTACACAACCACCCAGCCCACTTATCGTTGACCAAGTATAAAACCTAGAACTGCCTACCATGAAAAGATGAGCCAACCACTATATCATGAAGACTTAGAGTAATAATAATCTTCAATAAGCTATTTTAAATTATCTATAAACAATCTGATTTGTCAGTTCGAGGCACCGTGATTTGAGTCACTTCCCACTACTATAAACTCAATAGATATACATATACAAACTATTTTTAATGAATTAATTCATAGAAATACAGTCAGACCTCCCTAAATGCACGTCGTCGGGACCAGCTCTAGAGCGTGCATTTAGGGAGGGTTGCAATTAGAAAACACTAATAAAATTATAATGTTACTATTAACATGTGATAAGTATGGCTTTAGTAACCTAGAAATGATGAGTTTGATTGGCTGATAATCACGTGGTTGCATTTATGGTGGGAGTTTTTATAAGTGGGCCAGACAATTAGCGTGCAATTGTAGAATAACGAACGTGCATTTATCTATAAGTCCCATTATGGGGCTAGTCTTCTATCATGTATTTAAAGAGATGTTGCATTTAAGGGGGTTGCATTTAGGGAGGTCTGACTGTATTGACTTTTTATATATTCTATATCGAACTTATTTGTTTGAGAAAAAAGCTCTTTATGTGTGTGTTTTGTTATAAAAGGGTTTGTATATGCAGAGTTGAGTGTACATACTGTGTAATTACATCAAAAAAAGTAATGCACGAACGTAAGGATGTGCCCAGACACTAAATTTGAACCAATTTATTTAATTAATGAATCACTTCTTATTTATTATTAAAATTGATCTGATGAGCATGACGATATAATCTTATAACATTGTTTTTCTGGCTACTTATTTGAGCTTAAAGTTGTAGAGAGCTGGCGGTAGTGTTCCAAGTTGATTAGAATTTTTTCAATCGATTAGTTGTCAACTTAGTTGTCGATTAGTTGCAACTAATAGTCACATGTTTTCAGTAAATTTGATTGGCATGATAAATAATCATGTGTTTTCTGTATCATTTTAAACCGTTCTGATTGGCTAAAAAAATTCCACATTTTAAATTTATTACAGTATTATGTAGATAATCAACCAACGATTAGTTGATTAAAAAATTTCCAATCGATTAATCAACTAGTTGTCAACTAGTTGATTTTTCAACTAACGATTTGGATCACTAGCTGGCGGCGCTCTAGTTACATTTGTATAACATATAATAGTTTTGTCGTTTTAGCTATTTGATTAAACTTTTGATTAAATAATTGACTGACCACGATTAATGGTTATGAGTCAATAACTGGCTCGATGACTGACCGTAACCGATAGAACACATTCCTAGGCGTAAGGAATACTATTCAGATTATTGTTGACGGTAAAATTAATTTGCGATGATATTATCGTAATAAGTAGTAATAATAAGTAGTATATTATTAGATAAAATATGTAACATCTCTGTTTCATATTAAATCCAAATGGATTAAAAACGTGTTTTTTTTGCATTTAACATTACCAACTTGCCTCTAATTTCAGTT